ATCGAAAACGACATCACCACATGACACGACATTAATACCATGTTCTGACCAGCAGCGAAAACTTGTTTTCATTGCTAAAACTGGTTTTCGACCTAAACCTTGTGTTTTCGTCCATGTAAAATCTGTCAAACGAAAACCAGTTTTCGCTGAAAACTACTTGAAAACTCACGTTCCACTCATTCTAATCGGTTTCTTTCCTAGTTTTTTTCGATTATTTGTCGAAGTGGAATTCATATTTTATCATCTTAATTACGCCGTTTCGGATTCATTGTTAATTGGCTGGCCAAAGTAAAATAAGAATGAAAGTAAGAGGTTGCTAATGAAAAGAAAATGAGGGAAAAGCATTTTGGTTTAGTTTTTGTGTAGCAAAACTGTAATCAGAGGATGTAAGAAATGTCAACGAAAACACTAACAGCCGGTGTGAATAGCATTCGGCCCACAATCCCAAAACTCGTTTTCAAAGTGTTTTCGTTGTCAGTCAGAACATGGTAGAAGGTGTTATCTACATAATCTAAACACCTTGACGGCGACATGATTTTTTTGAACGCGGCAGCAACACATGAATTTGTTTGAGTTTGACATAAAAGAAGAGGAAGAATCTTATATCCCAACTAGCGTCGTAGAAATGATAAAATATGACTTCCACTTCGATAAATATATCTAAAATACTAGAGAAGACACCGATTGGAATGAGAGGAACGTGAGTTTTCAAGTAATTTTCAGCGAAAACTGGTTTTCGTTTGACAGCTTTTACATGGACGAAAACACAAGTTTTAGGTCGAAAACCAGTTATAGCAACGAAAACATGTTTTCGATGTCGGTCCGAACATGGTATAACTTAGGGTCGGGTTGCAAGCTGATTGTGATTTTCATGGCTATTGCAAGACGATATGAAAATTTCAGAAGTACGTAATGTGCGCAAATTAATGTTTTTATGATGTTGTATAGGTAGTTAACTTTGCCTTAAGCTTTAAAGCTCCTACATCATAAATTCAGTTCTCTGTTTCTCGATATCACTACAATTTTTCTGTATAACAGCAATTACCTACAATTTTTGTGTATTGCAATTTTACAGCAGTTTGGCGCGACTAACTTAGGGTTGACACCGGACAATACTGTCATAACAA